AGCTGCTCATCCCTAACCTCTCAGTACATAGGAAGTATAGTTTGTTATGCTACCTTGGTCTAATGGTCAGTCTATTAGCTGCTCATCCCTAACCTCTCAGTACATAGGAAGTATAGTTTGTTATGCTACCTTGGTCTAATGGTCAGTCTATTAGCTGCTCATCCCTAACCTCTCAGTACATAGGAAGTATAGTTTGTTATGCTACCTTGGTCTAATGGTCAGTCTATTAGCTGCTCATCCCTACCTCTCAGTACATAGGAAGTATAGTTTGTTATGCTACCTTGGTCTAATGGTCAGTCTATTAGCTGCTCATCCCTACCTCTCAGTACATAGGAAGTATAGTTTGTTATGCTACCTTGGTCTAATGGTCAGTCTATCAGCTGCTCATCCCTAACCTCTCAGTACATAGGAAGTATAGTTTGTTATGCTACCTTGGTCTAATGGTCAGTCTATTAGCAACATGGTTTATGTCGTGATAGAGTAAACTGACTGTAGCCATTGCTATTGTTCTTTAAAATTATCATGACAAAACTTTAAGTTGATTGAAACTAAGTGTCTAGTAACCTTATTGGGACACACAGTACAATAATTCAATATATAACATATTTATTGATGCATAATGTAGTTTTGATGTTAATGTTATTCCATCTTTTATTTTTTTCCTGATAAAGTATTGATGCTTTCAAACAGGATATAAATTTACTGTGTATTTAATTCATAATGAAAGGCTTCATCATATTCTGTCTCTGTTGAAATACAATGGCATGAATTAAACTAGCACTTATGGATGGTATGGAAACAATTTATATCCTCAACACAGATGTTTCCATGATGGGAAATGCAGTTTTCAAAATTAATTGGAATTTTTAGAAGGACATTAAATAGCAGTATAAAAGAATGGACTGCATATGATCCTGTATTGAAAGTTGAGGGTTACCTGGACTATGCTAACATTACCTTGATGGACAGGTGGACCAGTGTCAGTGACAGTTTTATTGTTTGTCACATGCCTCATGTTATGTTGACAACACTGGACACACTTCTCCTGCAAACATTAAATATCAATAATGTTTCTTGACAACTTTATATTCTGATATTAATAAAGAGCAATGTGTGTCACACTGTCTTGAAGCACAATAAAAGGCACGTGTCTGGTATAGTTGTTGGTAAGACATGTGTGTCACACTGTCTTGAAGTACAATAAAAGGCATGTGTCTGGTATAGTTGTTGGTAAGACAGTATCCCACATGAAACACAATGTTACCCAGAAAGAATTTACTAAAACATTGATTATATTTTAAAAGTTCTATAATAAGGCTTCTATTTGTAAATTTGTGTAAAACTATCTAAAGGTCTGACACTCAAGGGTTGATTTCTCTAAAGAAATAAAAAAAAAAACGGTATTTATTTGTATGGTTTGCTTTGTTGGTTTGATTATTTTTACTTACATAAATATGTACATATTGATGATGGAGTCTTTTTCATTGTGTAAGGAAACTTAAGTGCTCAGAGCAATATATAACCAACAATTTCCAACAAACAACTGACAAGCTCACTGATATGCGTGGGCAAATTAAAAAAAATATACATTTATCATGTTTATGATGGGTTTTTTTTTTTAATTTGAAACCTATATTAAGTTACAGGTTAATGAAGTACATGTCACTGTTTCTAAGTTTTGAATATGATATCTTAGAGTCGATATGAAACCTTAGCCAAAGCATGAGGTAAAATTAACTGTAACTTTACACTTTACACAGTGCAATAACTGTCCATTAAATATACATAACTTAAGTTGGCTGGGGGTCGATACCTTGAATATTTACTGAATACCAGACCTTATGCAGAGTTATGACCCAATCGGAAACAGATAATTAGATTAACATAATGGTTAACTTTTACTGCTCCTATGGTGTTTTGTTCATATTTTTCAGATTATTTGAAAACGTAACAAATAAATAACCAGAATATTTTGTACAACTATTTAATAACATTTTAATGAAATTCTAACACAGTCATTGTCTCACCTGCGAAAAAAATCTTATAAAGTGAGACAAAGAAATTACTATCCAGCGACAGCAGTGACAGCATTAACTATTTCTATAAAGCTTTATATAATACAGAAGGCGGAAGACCTGGATGCTTCATAAAATCTTGTATTCAAAAAATGCCTAATGTTATGAACTATCTGTCTGTCATATTTCACTTTTTCCTTGACCATATTTTCATGTATATTTTTTTTTTCATGTGAAATACTTACTTATTATAAGTATAGGACGAATATACATTGTATTTGGTATATGTCACATGTCTGTCAGACAGATTCACCTCCCCTTGACCTCATTTCATGGATCAGTGATCAAGATTTTGTTTTCCTGGTCTTAGTCCATATCGCAAATACTATAAGCAATGGTCAACTATATTTGGTGTATAGAACGATTGTAAGGTTTACTGGCAGTAAAATGTACATGTTTGTCTTGCAGGGTGATGTGATACTTGTAGTAGAACCTTTGTATTACAGACTCAACATAAATTCAATCATGATATGTAAAGAAGACGAGATATTTCAGCTCATGCACTCTTGTCTTTATAATTGTGAAGTTTTTATGAGTATCAAAAGTTTTAAAATAGATAAAGTAAAATAACAAACATAGTGAACTCCAAGGAAGTTTAAACAAGTTATGTATTTATGGTTTTAAGATGGTTGTCAGATCTTGTTACTTGCTCTAAACGGAAATTGTAACATAAATACTGGGGTACTTAAAATAGATGGTTAGGCAATTTATCTGATGTTCGTTTATCATTATATCAAAATTTGTCATGCCTTTTATTAATCACATTTTGGATCAGCACTTTGTAATCAATCATTTGTTCATTCCAATTATTTTGCCTTTTTATCCCACTGGGCTAAAGAATACATGACTTAATACCATTAAATTTGTTTCCTTTTCATAATTAAAATTGCTTTATGTATTGATGAACTTCAGAACTAACATTAGTATTAATTAATTTTGTACTGATTGTGAATAATGATTATTTATATTTATATATGTACTTTGTCACTTAGTAAATAATGATTATTGATTATCATTGGTAATAATTTTTGTACAAACTTTGTTGGTATAATGTATTAAAATGAGTCCAGACTATTTGATGCTATATAACATCATGTATCAAAACACTCAGCTAAACTTGACTCAACCTTGTTTTGTTATATATACTGCAGTGACATTACCTTCTATCAACATTTTTTTTCTTTCTATGTTCACAGTCTTTAATGCTAAAAAGTGACGGAAGTGAATTAAAAACTAAAAAGTTCATTGGGCACATTCCATTAATTATGTAGCAGTCACTAATACCAACATGCAACATGAAGTTACTGTACATGTTAGTTTGCTCATTTGATAGTTTTAATTGGCACTTTTTTGCATGTGTGCTACACTTTTTTTAAATATGGAATTTGTATTTTAATGTTTTTTTGCTAAATTAAAATAGGTATAAAGGAGGACAGCTATTTAACTGTCCATTATAACAGTTGGATTATACAGATTTCATGGGTATCCAATGTGACCTAAACATTATGTATTGACTTTATGAAATCTTTGACATATTATATGTTTTATGCGATTCAAGTTTCAATCGACAGAGAAAATTGATACTTTTAAGCAATAATTGCTTAGAACTGCGTACAAACTGTTTATGTCAACATTGATCAGCATTCTAAACTTATAGAAAATTGATATACAGTTTGAGTATAGTTTTTAAATGGAGATAATATTATGAACAAAGTTAAAACATTATAAATTCATTTTATTGTGAATATTGAAACAGAATCAACATTATAAATAAATAGAGTAATACTAAAATTCAAAATCAGTTTGTATAAATAATTAACTATCTATACTATTATTACAATATATTTGAATTATCTAACTTTGTTTAGACATGTCAGACTATTACCAATAAAGATATATACTATCCAATATTAGGAAAATATTATTGATTGTGTAAATATAATACTGTATGTTACAAACTAGTTATATGAGATAATCTGTGTCAGCCAGCTATTGTCTGTGTCTGATACTGGACAGAAGGAGGCTGGTCAATTTAAACTTGTTTGATACAATATTTAAAAAAATACATTAAACAATTTTTTTTATCAAAACAGGTTTACAAAGTAAATGCTTTTAATACAGGATGTTGCTGTAAAATTTCACTTTTTGCTTGGAAAAATGGTAGCTTAGATAACAACTTGAAATTGTTTTCCTTAGTATATGCCATTTATCACCATAATAAAAAATATCAAATTATTAAATTGCTATTTGTAGAAGATAACTTAATTAGGTTCGTCTTTCAAAATGCATTAAGTTTTTTGGGGGATTTTAAAGAGATCATAGATTTTATCAACAATTTAAATTTTGAGGTGAAAAAGCTTCATAATTTACAGGGGTATTTGATTTCAGAAGAAAACCTTAAGGAAAAACTTTCTGATTAAAAGAAGGCTATGATTCTAGACCCCCTTTCTTCGTTAGGTCATACTTTGCCTGACAAATGGCCATTAACATTATACAAATAAAGAATAGTATATTGTTCTTTGTATCACCTGGCTATAAAATAATAAACTGTCAAATTTAACAATACACAATCAATACAAAATGATAGAATACAAAATTATCACGTTTTTTTTTGCTTTATAAAACATTACCAAATAGTCATCAATACTTCTTTAGTTGACACAAGGTTAATATCAATTTTAATAATGAAACAGCTATTGAATTCTATTGATAAAATTTCTACAGATTAATCTAGTGAATTAATATAGTAAATTTCACCATTGAATTTAAAAAAAATTGAATGCATCATTATTTTGCTAGAGACAAAATATTAAACTTGCTGTTAGAGTTTAGAAATTTGCTTATTGCCGAAAAAAAAATCTAATAACTTCTACCCAATGTTCCATTTTTGCAAACTTAACTGATGATTGAAATTTTCTTTTCTAGCTATTGGGGACCTCTCTGCATATAGTCGAGCAGATGACCATCACACTGCCAAACATGGATTTGAAATAAACTTATTCACAGAAGACAGTCGACCTCATTGTATATCAGACAGATATAATGCTGCCAATCAAACACCGGCTTGTAAACTTCGTGGTGCTGACTTATACAGGAAAGATGGCTTATGTACAGAACGGTTATTCAGGATGTGGCCAATTGTTCTTAATGAACATAAAGTTAGAACTCCTGATCTCAATCTGCCAAGAAAGGTATACATAAGCTTCATAACCCATGCAAAAAATATTCCAAGATTCTCATCCATATAAGAAAAAGACTGCACAGATGAATATTTTTGTTTTACTTTTTCAATTTCTTGTGTGAAAATGAACAGTGGATAAGTTTTTTTTCTCCTTCGATGGCACAAAAAGTCAAAGCAAGGTTAAAAATTGTGTTGTACAGTGATGATCTCAGAAGTTAGCATATTTTTATATGGCCTTCTATTAGCAGATTAAGATTCAATGTATCTGTAATTTCTGGCCATGACCAGCATTTTTTATATTGTTTTTTTGTTGTTGTTGTTTTTTTCATTTTCAATTTCAAACATGAAACAACATAATAGTTGCAAAATAACTTACCTTAGTTTGTACAACTTTTGAAAAGGATGTAATTCGATTATGACATGAAAAGCTGTATAAATGAATAAAAGCAACATATATTTAGAATATAATTAAACAAACCAATTGGAAAGTATATTTAATACTAGTGGATATTGATGATTTTTATCAATAACTTAATTTTCCCATGTAAAATGATTAAGATATAAGATAAAAAGTGAGACCAGAGTTTTTACTTAAAGAATAATTGAACATTGGTATTTGGGTGGATCATGTTACTGTCTGTTTGATCATTCAGTAAAGGATCAAAGATGTATATTCGATTATTTGTGACCTAGAAGATCTATCTATATATTTGTAAAGATTGTGGTATTAAACACACCTTTGCATGAATATACATTAGATTTAACATTGATGTAATACACCAATATACATTCATATAATAGGTAAAAATTGAGTATATAGTCTAGAAAAGAAAAAATAATAAATGACATGATTTACCATAAAATGCTTATAGATATTTGACACATTATTCACTTTATTCACTTTATGAAGCAGATAGTCATTTAAAGTAAGGAAAATCTAGTGTAATTATCAAAAAGATGGATACCCAATAATACACCATGGGCAAAAGCAACTTCTGAAGTTCAATCTTCAACAATGAGCACAGTCCCACAGAAATTGTCTGTGTTCTCCCTGTACCTTTAAAGGTTTATTTATCTAAAAATGTACAAAACCATTTGCACAATTTGCTATTAAAGCTGTAGCACAAGAAAACAGAAGTCAATTAGTGCCAGTTTACCTGTTTGTCTTTTGTATATGTTGTCATTTTATGAGTTAAGTGGGAAATTTTTGTGAAGTTTTTTTGTGCAAATTAAACAATTTAAGATTGATTTAGAAAATAAAACCTTACAAATGGGTTTGGCCCTAGAAATATCAAAATTTAAACTCCTCAAAAACAAACCACTAAATAGCATTGAATATATAGGCTAAAAATCAGTTTAATCATATTTTGAATAAAAATACTAATGAATAACTGATAAAAAAGAAAATGGTAAAGTTAATTTGATATATTGCTCTATGCTATGCATATTTTATCAAATAAAATTGGGTTCTAGGTTTCTATTGAATTGATATTCAATCAGTAGGTTGCTGTAAAATCAGCACAGTTAACACTGAAGCTGTCAAAATGAGACTAATTTCAATAGGGTTTAATTCAAAGTCTTGAATTCTTGGGGTTCTTTGATATGCTGAATCTAACTGTGTATTTAGATTTTGGATTTTTGGCCCTGTTTTTTAAATTGGTCCACATTAAGGTCCAAAAATAAACTTTGTTTGATTTCATCAAAAATTGATTTACTGGGTTTCTTTGATATGCTGAATTTAACCATATATTTAATTTTTAATTTTGGGCCCCATTTTCAAATTGGTCTACATAAGGTCCAAAGGGTCCAAAATTAAATTTCTTAGATTTCAACAAAAATAGAATTATTGGGGTTCTTTGATATGCTGAATCTAAACATGTACATAGATTTTTGATTTTGGGCCTAGTTTTCAAGTTGATTCAAATTGGGGTCTAAAATAAAACTTTTGTTTGATTTCATTGGGTTTTTTGATATGCTTAATCTAACAGTGTATTTAGATTATGGATTTTGGGGCCCGTTATCAAATTTGTCAACATTGCAGTTCAAAGGGTCCAAAATTAAATGTTTCATCAAAAATTGAATTCTTGTGGTTCTTTGATATGCTGAATCTAACCATGTATTTAGATTTTGGATATTGGACCATAATAGGTAAATGTCATATTTCAAATTTTTAAGTTCTTAGACAACATTCATTCTGTGTCAGAAACCTATGCTGTGTCAAATATTTAATCACAACCCAAATTCAGAGCTGTATCAAGCTTGATTGTTGTGTCCATACTTGCTCCAACTATTCAGGGATCGACCTCTGCGGTAGTATCAAGCTTAGCCCTGCAGAGCATTTTATTATGGAATATAAATATACCAATCTTGTCATCCCCTCCCAATAAAATAAGTACATAGCAGGCCTTAAGGTCACACCAAATTGTAGAACAAAATTTTATTAACAAATTTTATCAAATATTTCAATGTTGTATTAATTTAGTTAAATAGTATTTGTCTTGATTTCCCTAACTCTTTTTCTCTGTTTGAAAGAAATATATATTTAAATCAATTACTTCTTTTTTTTCTTAGGGTATGTGATAATTAATCCAATATGTTGAAACTTGAATGCCAAGAATAGAAAAATCTATAAAAAAGTAAAAGAATTGAAATCATGAATTTTTAAGGACTAAGTTACACCTTTCAGAACTGAAGGATTAATCATTGTTTTTAATATGCACCTTTATTGAAATTTACTTCCCAGTGACTCTAAAAATATCAATGTTAAATTTTGTTATCATTGCCTTGTTTAGATATTTTCCAGATTTGAATTTGAAATATATCCTCCTTCCTTCCAAGTTTTTGATACTTTTTGTATTTAGAAACCACTTAACCTTAACCTTTTGCATTTGCAGTTATATGATTTAATAAAATAATAGACACCGCGAATTAGGGAACACACTGTTATTTCAGTGAATCTCAACACAGTTATCAATAATTCAAACTTTATTATAAACTCATGTAATGATCGAAAAACAGTAAACTCATGTAATGATCGAACAAACAGTATCATGAAATAATTGGATTACAGCTTCAATAAAGATTAACAAAAAAGTATTCAAAGAAAAATCTATTGAAAGTCATGAACAATTCAATTTTAGTTGTAAGATATTTTGTCAGAAAAGGCAACTGGTAGTTAGTTTGTTAACTGCAAGCTTACATAAAATATTTTCTATAGAAAATAACCCATAACCATAAAAAAATAATCTATCATCACAAAATCAGTTATTACACAGTAAAAACCACAACTTTTAATCTGACACCTGTACAGACACATTATAGTAGCAACAATTGTACATAAAAGCTGATGATCTAATCATTGTAAATATATTTGCTCAAAAAGTTTGTGAAAATGGTTGATAAAGACAATATTAAAGAATAAAATTGAATACTTATTTCATTGACTAATTTCTTTCCATGTATGGGTGCTTAGAATGGAATACTTATCTTTCTGCATTAAACACTCAAATTCAGTGAAATGTATGCTTTTTAAAAACGAGAGGGGGAATGAAACAAAGGGAAATTCAAACTCATAAGTCGAAAACAAACTGATATGTGGCCAAAAAACCTGAAAAACTACCATAAACTACAGTATACAATATACAACATAGAAAACTAAAGACTGAGCAACATGAACCCCACCAAAACTGGGGGGGGGGGGAGGGGGGGGTCTCCAGTGCTTGGGAATGGTAAGCAGATCCTGCTCCACATGCAGCATTTAAACTACTTCATGGAAATTTATCAATAAATTACACAAAATCACTACATACACATGAAAAAACCAAAAGCAACGCAGTGAGGCCTTCAAGCAAAGACTCACCTCACAGCTGAGAAAGTGGAATTAGTAATTAACACAATCACCTTGTTTTCTACAGATGCAGTCAGTATTTACATTTGAGAAAAGGTACAAAAGACTGAAAACTCGACCAAAAACTATCACAAGTTTGGATGAACTATATAAAGATGAAGAAAAGAAGGATCAGGAAAAAGAAAAACCATATGATGTTCCTAGATTCCCACCTTCAGAAAAAGTTTCAATTAACATATCTGGACACAGCTTTGAAAAAATGGAATCGTTTAGGCAAGCACTGTTACATATTGAAAGGGAAGATGCAAAGAAGAAAAAGAAACGAAAAAGTATTTCTGGTGTACCTGAAGATATAATGAAGGAAATTGAAAAGTTTGAAAGAAAAAGAAAAAGTACAAGTGGTCATGATGTTCAAGATTATTTATTTGATGATTTAGATGATACAGTTGATCAAGTGGACAGAGATGAAAACATGGCCAAATATTTTGATGAAATTGATGCAAAAATTGAAGACAGAATTGAGGAAGAAGTTTTAATGAAGGAAAGAAAAATAATGAAGTTCCTGCCATGTAGACGTTCAAAATCACTACCTCGATGTGTACGATTATACAAACCCAACGAAAAAAGACAGTCAGTTGTTAGCAATATAAATGCCCAGGGCAGTTCACTAAGTCTGGCTAGTAATGGGACATGTGCAAGTAGAATATCACGTTCAACGAAAAGATCCAGTATAATTAGCAACAAGATCAAAATACTTGTCAATGGAAACAACGCAAAATCATCAAACAGTGATAAACCTCGGCCTCGACCAAAGTCTTTAGATTTAGATGCAATAGACTTCAATGATGATATGGTCAGGTCGAATTTAGCACATACTAAAATGCCAAGTATGCCTGATGGTGTATTTAATAATACTACTGCTGAAATGAGGAGAAATATCGGTCCAGGTAGTTACTATTGTTATGAAAGTAATACCCTGCCAAGGAGACAGTCAAGAAGATCTGAATCTCCATGGGAATATCTTCCCAAAGACTGGACAAGTTCTGTCAAACTAAGGGAGATAAACAAAGGAAGGTCAAAGGAGGATAGACAGTCATCTTCTGGTAAGATATTGAGGATACAGAAACTGAATTTAAAAGTTGTTTAAAAATTGTTTAAAAATTCATTTAAGTTTTTGTTGGTATGCTGCTTTTGTTTGTTTTGGTTGTTCAAGAACATTTGGATTTATTATATGTTATGACACTGCTATTAAAAAAATGTCTTCTTTCAATGACCAATCTATTCATTTAAAGTTTATTTGCACATGTTACCTCCCATTGATCGAAGAAATTGCAAAAACTTACGTTTTGTCTGCCTATGAAATTACTTTTCATTAAGATTTTATATGAATATAGATTTTAGTATTTTTCATTAAAACATTCAAAATGATGAAAAAAAGATGTGTCAACTACAAAAAACTTGACTCAAGAATTAATCTTTCTTGCTGGTTGGAGTAAAGAATGAGTGTTTTATGAAGTAGAGGGCAAAACTAATATTGTTTGAAACAGGAAGCTGATTATTTTTTTCCATCAAAAATTTTAAATCATGTGACAGAAGGAAAAGTATATATATTACTTATAACAAAGTAAGAGTCTTTTACATTTTTATCTCACTTGGCCCAAAGGGCCAGTGTGAGCTTTTGCCATCACTTGACTTCAGCCATCTGTTGTTGTCCCTTCACTCTACAAAGATATCTCCTCTGAAACTACTGGGCCACAATCTGTTTATTGCCCTAAAATGATGAATTTTACTATTTGTTTTAAAATTTTGCCTATTATCTTAAAAATTATAACATATATACATAAACTTTATATTCAAAAATAATCAGCTAGACAAAGTCTACAAATAAGTCTACATGGCCAAAATTGTTAGTTAGTTGGGTCCTTATTGGAGTAATTGCCCTTTTATGACTATTTTTACCATTGTTTTACATTTTTGCCTATTATCTTGAAAGCTATAACAGATAGATGGAAACTTTAAAAAGCAAAAATGATCAGTAAGAATTTAAGAAAAGATCTACAAATAAGTCAATATTGCCTAAATCATCAGCTGACTACTAATATGAGTCATTACTCTTAAAAGACGATATTTACCATATTTTTTTGCATTTTTGCCTAATATTTTGAAACTGTAATTAAAAGAGAGAATTTTACAGAGAAAAATCATTCACAATAAAACCATTGGTCAACTCTTTATAGGAGTAAGTGCCATTAAATGACAATCGTTATCATTTTTTTATGTTTTTGCCTATTACGTTGAAAACTATAATAGGTAGATCGAAAAATGAAAAAGCAAAATTGAGGCAAATAGGTCAGCATACATGTAGATGAATAGTCAGTTGTCTTCTTATAGGTGTTATTTTCCCTAAAATAACAATTTTAACCTTTTTTTGTGTTTTGTGCAAAAACTATAGAAGATAGAGAGAAACTGTAAACTGAAAAAGTTTTCAGAATACAAGTTCAACAAAAATGATATTTTAGTCATGAATAATATTCTAGTCTACAATGTTGGAGAGTGTCCATTGATGAAGATGCACATATACTTAGCTGAGCGACACAGTCTCTTTAAAGGTTTTAGTTTGTAGAAGCCATATACACAAAAGTAGAAAATGCAATACATGTACATTGATGTATTACGTACTAAAGTAAAACTATGCTTAAGTTTCAAGATATTTCAATCAAACTGTTTGCAATGATTTTATTCCTATATTTTAGGTCATTGGAGTGGCACTAATAGTAACCGACATTCTTTGGACTCGGATAATGTCAAATCTGATATCATTCCACATCAAACATCTCAGATCTCTTTGGGACAAGATTCTGGTCGTGGTTCACCTTTACCTCAGGATGACAGGTACATATTTACATTATAGCCTTTGGAAGTACTGTTATGAATTCAAATTTAGTATTTTACGAGTTTGTTTTTTGTAATTGATGAACTTTCAAATATTCAACAATTTTTGTATATTTTTCTGTGTACCCGTACATATTGTGTAATTTTTTTCAACTACATCAAAATTTTCTAGTAATAATTAAAAAATTAAAGAACATTTATATATCCAATAAAAATGTAGTTTGTGGTAGTGTTATTTAGCAATCCCTCTGTCCAATTGTCTGGCTCATAACTTTAAAATATTTACTTCATTATGTTTAGCTGCAAACTTTGGGAATTCTGTCTTGAATCACTCTGTGTCTGGATCAAAAATTTCTTTGTCTGTTTGTATGTCTGGAATCATTCTGTCTGTGTCTGGATCAGAACTTTTCATTGTCTGTTTGTATGTCTTGAATCACTCTGTTTGTCTGTGTCTGGATCAGAACTTTTCTTTGTCTGTTTGTATGTCTTGAATCATTCTGTCTGTGTCTGGATTAGAACTTTTCATTGTTTATTTGTATGTCTTGAAGGATAAGGATATTGATGAAACTATAGGTTGATATTTTGCCACCATTCATAAAGGGGTTCTTTTAAATGGTCAATATCAGAAACTTTGTTTAGATATGCATACCCTTATCCAAATTAATATACCAAATCTTTTCTCATAGCTTTGAATATCTAGAAGGATACTTACTGTATTGCCTTCCACAAAAGGGTGTTTCTAATAAATAAATTCAGAATGTCTGTCTGCAAGGTCAAAGTACTACTACAAAGGTGTTTCATGACCTTGACTACCAATGAGGATCTTGCATGATTACAAAATCATATCTGAATCATTACTTTTAAATGCCTTCAAGATATGGATAACACAGGTTTGTGGAATGTATGTTTGGGATTGTGCATTTCACAGATGTTCTATATGTAAATGATATGTAAATACAGCATATCATATTAGAATTTTATTATGCAATATAATTTTGATCATATAACTTTTCATTATTATAAAAAAAGATAAGTAAAGGCAGATCCAATTTATTACTTATTGAACATAACAATGTGTTTTGGTTGTACTATAGCCAACAGTCTACAGCAAGCACTTGTGAAGAACTTGCCTAAAAGGTTTCAGGGCTTTCTGTATTCAAACAAGGCTTTTGATTTGGTTCAAAGGCCACATATAATGCACTACTTTAACTAGACATTTTGACAGAAATCAAACAAACGCACACAGAAATTGTGCAACTCAATTTTCATTATTAAAAACATGTTACATAGCCAATAAGGAAAAGCAATACATGTCTTCTATGAAGATTTGTACATGTAGTTAAATTTAAATTTATTCAGTGACACAAAAGTGTTGTAAATAACTTGTGTATTTTGTTATTGTAGGGGAAGCACTGATACAAATGAAGGTTATATTGGTGACGGAGGGAGTACAATAACAGACGGAACATCTATACAGGAAGGCAAACTAGACACAGATCTATGGTTACGATCTCTAGCTATCAGAGCTGCTCATAGAGATGAAATTTCAACTAGTAGTGCTGAAACATTAAATTCCTTAACTAAACTAACAAAGCAAAACATTGAAGCATTAGATCTGATGATGTCTCCGTCACGAAGGAAACCAAGAACTTTCGAAGATGAAGAGTGTTCTGAATATTCTGTAGACCAAGAGGGCTTCTATACATCATTTCATAATGATAGTGGATTACGAAAAAGTAGTGCAACTCTGGTTGATGAAGATGAACTTTCACATAGCAAGGATTCTCATAGTGTATGTAGTTTTGACAGTGTTATTCCTAACCCAGACTTGGACAAGCATGCTGGAATAAAAAAGAATGCAAACTGTAAATCACTGAATAAAGTAACACCACCAAAACCACCAAAAAGGACAAGTTCTATGTCTTCTGTCAATTCCAAATCTCAGTCCACAGACATTTCTCCAGGAGGTATCAGTAGACAAGACTCTATGTTCTCAGATACAGATCAAGAAACATTTTTTCAGAGAGTTGAGGACAAGACAAAAATTTCAGCTCATGGAATTCCTTCATTATGTACACTTACAAGCGATGATGATTCAATTCTGGGAAAAGGAGATGATACCAGTCCTTCTATGGATATATATAACAAAGATTCATTTAAAATTGTTGATATGAATCAGAATTTTCCAAATCCTGGACCATCAAACTCTTCCTCATTTTCGGAAATTTCTGAAGGAAAGAGTTTTCAAGATGGGTCCTCCATGGATGGAATCTCAGTTTTTACCATTGATTCAGATCATTCAACATTTAACTTTAGTAAACCTGAAATACATGATTGCAGAACATTACCAAGACAGTGTATGTCAAAAAATGACAGTTCTGAATATACAAAATCCTGGCCAAGATGTAACAAAAAGGATGAAACTAAGTCAACTTTATCTAGCATTTTGAAAAACAGTAATAATTCTTTGCAGCCTCAGAAATCTCTCTATGTTTCTCCTACTTTGAATATTTTTAGTTCAAACATTCAGCAGGGAACAGAACAACAATTACCAACAGAAGAAACCAAAAGTGCTTCTAAAGAAGAGCTTGAAAAGATGGGAGATAACTCCAGCTACATGCTATCTATCCCTATGGCTGATGGTTGTGAAAAAACAAAATCAAATGATTTACCAATTAAATATCAGCCAGTGTTGGTTGTGAAGCCTGGATTTGGTAAAATTGATTCTAGTGCTAGTAATACACCAAGTGGAAAGCAATTAACAGAAACAAACGCTGCAAAGGAAAGTAGTTTTGCCATCACTGGCAACCCAAAAGTGAACTTAAAAGACAGTATGTCTGAAAGTTCAACATTTTTCTCTAGCTTTTCTGGAAGTATAAATTCTATTAACTCTGACTTAAGTATGGCAGATAGTTTAACATATGTGAGCAGAACAAGTAATTGTAGTTCTCCCAATCTTTCACATATGGACATCCCTGCTGTTCTAACTCCCACTGGTTCTATGGACTCATTAATGGATACAACCAATAAATGCAGTGACAATTCTAATCTTAGTACCACCATGGAAACCGTAGCTATAACAACGAACACTTCTTCATTCAATAGCACAACAGATGATATACAGATACCATTCAAGACTTTTTCCGGTGAAATGATTTCTGCTCCATTTTTTACATCAACTCCGTACACATCTTCTGCAGGTATGCCGCAAAGTGCCAGTCACCTTGAAGAATCACCTGTCTCTTATAAACATTCTGAGTATCAGCAAAAGCGTATGCATTCCTCTCAGTCATTCCCTTCTGACATGAAAAATGCAATTCAAAATGACAATGTCAGTAGTAAAAGACATTCAATAGGAAATAAGTCACATCCTGTTGTTAATTTAAATCATTTAGAGGATTCAGATCACTCTAATAATGCTGCAGTGTCAAGCAGAACTGATTCTTATCGTGTTGCCATGGTAAATCCAACAAGAAGTGGTTCGTATCGAGTAGCAATGAATGAAAATTCAAATTATCCCTCATTTAATAATATGAGCAGAAGATCAACAACCCCAAGAGTTAATGTTACCAATCAAATGATCTCACAATCTAAAGATCAACAACCAGCACAAAGGTCAAATAATCAACAGACATTGTCTCATTCTCAGTCATACCAAGGACATCCTACAACTGGAGGTCAATCTAAAGACCAGTCATTGTTACATCGGCCAAGTGATCTTCAGTCTTTATCTCATTCTCATTCATATCAAGGATATCCTACAGTCGGATGTCAGTCTAAAGAACAACCATCATCACAGTACTCAAATCATCAACAAACTTTGTCACATTCTCAGTCATATCAAGGCTATCCTGGAGGTTCAGGTAAAGGTAGATATAACCCACTGTATGCATCATCAACAGATGCTGTCAAAATAAGTCCGCCATCTTCATCTCATAGTAGCAAACAGTCTCAGAATAAAGATCAGAGAAACAAGCAATTATCTCAAAGTTCTCTTCAACAAACAAAGCAACCCTCCCCTTCTGCAGGCCATCGAAAAATACAACCAGTGAATATGGAAAAAAAACAGGCAGTCTCACTGCATAGCCAAGGGAAATATCAAAAACAACCTGTAAAAGCTGAACAACAGTCACAAAAGACAAATTATGTAAACAAGGCCAGTTCAAGATTAAATCAGAGTGACCCAGTGCCACAAGACAGAATATCAGTGAAAACAAATGTAAGAGAGAATCATAGTACATCTGCTTTAAATACAAATGAACAATGTAGAACAGATTCATATCGAGTAGCATTAGGGACAAGTTATGAAAATCCTGCTAGGAATACATCATATCGTGTTGCAGTAAAAGATACAGATCCACTTATTCACGACAATCGACTTGATGTTATCGAGTCCGTCATGACAGGTGGTCGTGATTTAAGAAGAATGGGCATTACAAACATTGATCAGGTAAAACATACAAAATCAGACATACCAACCGAGAGTCAGAAACAACAAGTTGTCCGAAGACGCAAACCAGATGTTGATCCTATATCTGTTCTATCAAATCGTGAAAGTAATTCAGGTAAAACAAATAAGAACCGTTTCAGTACATCTTCTACCTTCATTCAGTTTGATCCAATATCAGAGGATTGGGAGTTTATGATGAATTCATCTGATACTCTAAGTAATGCATCTGACAGAGATTTAATGGATCATGGAAACAGTTTTTCAATGGATACCACAAAAATAAATGCAATATCTGGGACTAAAATGACTCAAGAAAAAAATTCTTCATCTTCATTGCTTGGTAGTATTAAAAGCACACTGAAATCAATGTCAGGAAAGCAGTCAAAAGATTTCCAAGATGATGGACGATTTTCCATGGTGTAATTATATCTTCTTTGAACATTCATATTAAATCAACAGATTTTTTTCGGAATGCTGAACAATAATAAATATGCAAAACAATCTATTACGCTGGATGTAATTATTTTTTTATTTTTGTTAAGATTGAACAAATATCCTTACCAGTGTTGAGGTTTTTTTAAATTTAGAGAAAGTTAAAAGAAAAAAAGTTGTCGTTACATGTACTGCTGACAATTAGATATTGATTGAAAAATTCAGATTTATTTCCTTTCGGTTTTCCTGACCGTGTTAAACCCTCAAGGTCTTAAATGACCCTGTAGTAGTACTTTTGATTTTATGAATATATATTTACTGTTGCCAAATAATCAAATATTCTTAAAAAACTATTGATAAATCCATGCATGTTCAAAAGCATCCGTGTAGCTGCCAAATTAGCATACCTGTTGAAGGATTTCCTAAAACATTTGCTGTGTGCACTGTTTATTTTCAGTAATGTATATATATTAAATGTTAAAAATCTGCACAATTTAGTGTAAATTGTTTTGAATCTAAATTTTTTGAAAATTTGTTTTGGTATATAAAAGTGTAAACTGTTGAAAAAAAAAATCTCTCGATTACCGGTATATACATTGTATATTCCTTTGTTATCTTGAACATGCTGAATTTTTAAAATACAATAATTTTATTTTATTTTCTCTACTTTGCCTTAAAAAAAATATTTGATTTGAAGTACATGACTTTGTATGGTTATAAACTTTAAAAAAACACTGTACTATAAATGCATTTATAGGTTTACTGTTCAATTTTTAGGTTATATTTTTAATTAAAAAATATCTTTTAAAAAAGACTGTTTCATTAGTTTTATGTTGTTTCTTTAAGATACAAGTGCCATATACTTTCATTCCAGAATTTGATATTTTTATGAAGTCTTATGCATTTTATTTTGATCATTTCCATATGGAAGATTGTTCCGAATATTATCATGATAATAAGACTATTCAATAGTTCATATTTGTTAGAATTGGAATTTATCTAGTCTCCTTCTGAAGTTGAAAAATGGTAGTAAAATATATTTTTGTTACTGATGTAACTTTAAGCTTTAACTAGTTTTTTTCTAACAATAATAAATATTAATGTACAATTAAGTTAAATTCAATGTATTATTAGCATTGGTATCAAGGGAATTCATTATTATATTAATAAATATGTAAATAGTAAATTTGATGTACAATTGATTGTTAACACTGTTGTACAGGTTCTTCATCATCATGAACAGTTATAAACTTACATATATCTTTGTAATAAATTATTGTTAATACCTTGACATTATCATCTGAGTCAACAGATTTTTCATTCATTGTACAAAATCACTTTGTATTTATAAAAATGACAAAACAAATGGCAGCATTCATGATAAAGTTCATTCCTTGTTAAAGATTTTTCAAATTTTGTCTTGTTCTTGCTCACCACACATAGTTAATTAATTCAGAGTTAAAGACTATGTATTTGATTTCTAGTTTTCATTTTTCATGAATTGTTTACAAGGTAGATAATCCATAAGAATGAATCTTTTTTTTTTAAAAGAGAGATTTCTTGTGCTTTTTATTAATTGGCATAGAACATAAATTTACTTCTATATGAGGAATATGGGGGACATGTTTAAGCAGGCATGGATATTTGGGTATTTAACAGATCTTTGTGCAAGACATTATTTGAAACATTTTTTTTTTTGGTTTACATGTTGATGAATAATTGTACATATAAGCAGAATTTTTTATTTTCATATTTATATGTTTTTGTTGTTTTATATAAAAATATTTGTTATTGTTTGGTGTGTTTATACACACTTTATTAAAACAACCATTTTATTGGTCTATTTTTTAAAGATAAAGATATCAGCAGTAGACACTTGAATAATAGTGTGTATCTAATGTTTCTGCCAAATATTTAAATAACAGTCCCTAAAAGTCACACAATCAAGAATCTAACATTGTCAGCACTGATTGTTGGGTGGCCAGCTGTCATGTCCAGCTGAATATAAAGAATTTTTGGATAGAAGCATTATCTGCCAAAGCGTTATCCATTTTTTTATCCAATTTTCCATAGTTCAACAGCTAACTGGGCATAGTTTATACATCAGTCATGACTAACAGAAATTTCTTTCCATATGATAAAAAAAAAAAAAACATAAAAATGTTTAATGCTAAAAATTACAGATTTGGATTTTCAGGCACCTTCAAATTACATATTAAAAAATGAGGATAATACAACTTACATGCCATTATATGTAAAAGGGAGGAATGTTTGATGCCACATTATTATATTTTGTTTCTTCCTCATGAACTATAATCATTCAGTAAAAACAAAATTATCAACATAAGTATTTGCTGCTGCTTAAGAAAAATCTTATTTTCAGAATGAAAATGTAGGAATTCAGTTTTATTTCTTTTTGGTTTGTAATGGAAGTATTCAATCAAAATAAATAAGACAGCATAATTAGTAAAAATATTTTTGTTTGAAAAAATGATGAAAATTGCATTTATTGGAGATCCATCAACTTCTTGTCAAGTTTAAAGTACATCCCCTTGTTGAGAAAGTACAACATTAAGTAGTGGGTGTATGTAATTTACATTTTGAAAGTATGATATTAGTCATCAACGCTTGCTTTCATTTCACTATTAACTAAATGAATCAAAATATGCCTTACAGCATTAGAAAACTACAAACTGCAGCAGTTTATCAGTTTATCAGTATTGCCAAAATTATGCAACATTATGTATACCTGTAAGCATACATTGACATTGTAAATATTTTGTAAGTGCTTTATGATTTTGCTGTGTTAAGCTTATATAGGTCTCTTCACATGAAACTGTAGTGCAATCTTAATCTGCATCTATGTGGATAAATAAAATATTTTAGATAATTAGTTTGTTATGGTGATGTTGTCATGCAACAGTTTTACTTAAGATTCTAATATAATATAAAGAAATGTGAATATGATTGCCAATGAGACAACTGTCCACCAGAGATCAAAGGACAAGGATGTAAACAAATATATGTAACTGTAAAGTCTTCAATCATGAGCAAAACAATACTGTTTAGTAAGCTATAAAAAGACCCTGACATGAAAAAATGTAAAAGAAATCAAAAGAGAAAACATATGATAAAAACAAATATGGCAGACAGCAACCAAAGACAACCACTGAATTACAGGCTCCTGACTTGGGAATGACACTTAAAGAATGTAGCAGGGTTAATTATATTTGTGAGCACTAAATTCTCTAACCTGGAAGAGTGTTGTAACAGCACAACATAAGAACAAACTGTAAAAAAAATTATGAAAGGTTTTGACTAATTAGATCAGCAAGAAGCACAACAAAAAGTACAGATCTTAGATCATTAGCAGTTACTTAAAGCAAGTTCAAAGCCAATTTCAAATCATGTTTAAATATCAATCGGTGCACACCCTGTATATTAAGGGGAAAGACGTCATAAACAGTCTGAGAAAATAGAATAGAAAATGGAAACGGGGAATGTGTCAAAGAGAGAACAACTCAACCAAAGAGCAGAAAACAGCCCAAGGCCACCAATGGGTCTTCAAGGCAGCGAGAAAAATACCTTGTTAGTGGGCTTCAGCTATCCCCTAAACAATAATGTATACTAGATTAGTAAAATGAATACCACATTAAACTCCAACATATACAAATGAACCAAAATTGAAAAAAAAACACTCAAGATCAACAAAGGCCAGAGGTTCCTGATTTGGGACAGGAGCAAAAATGCAGCAGGTAAACATGTTTTGTGAGATCTCAACCCTCCCCCTATACCTGTATCCAAAGTGAAAAAAAACCTGCGAGAAAAGCATGCATGACCTTTTGCCATGCCAAAATATAACAGGGTGCAGATGATTATACAAATGTATAAATACATATTTAGTTATGTTTTAATAGACTAAAAATAAAGTCAATGTTGGTACCAATAAAAACAGTAATCACAGATCTTTCTATAATACAGTGTTATATTGATAAACTACGTATTAGAATATGTTTACTCAAAGGATCAACAGTTACATGGATTGTATCTAAATCTAAGGGCTCTTTAAACAAATTCATGGTAACAACTAGGATGTGATATTCCACTTGTCATATGGTTTCTACAGGTACAACTAATCTTCCAAACCTTATCATTGCATCAATGAAAGAATTTAGTGCAGGTTTTGATTAATTGAGGTAATGAAATGCCAGACTTAAAAGGAGAAGGGGCATTAAGGCCTATTTTTGGCCCTAGAAAATAAAATGTTTGACAACTATTCCAAATCAGCACATAATGTTTGGAAATGCATAGAGTCAATATATATAAATGAAAAACATAAGATTTTTTTATCTGATGAAGTCATAATATGTACTGTTTTCATGAATATGATGAAAAATACAGAATTTATGCAGTTTTCCATCGTTATCTCCATTGTGGAAACATCATAAGCAGCCAAGAAACAACAAAATAATTTAAGAGAAGCCTTATTATAACTATTGATATAATTTCACCAAAAGTTGTTTTTTGGATGCGCACATACTTTGCAAATCTAGAATATACTTAAAATTTGACAAAAAACAAGGAAAATCAAGAAATTTTACAAAATATACAAATTTCATCATGATTTGTTGCCATGGTAACTCGTTAAATGTAAAATTTGTTTTTTATTTTCTGAACACCTTGAACATAGTCTAGTTGAACAAATTTAAGAATATGTAGGATAACTTTTAAATTTGCAGTAATATTTGGGCCAAATAAATAGATATAAAAAGATGTGGTATGATTGCCAATGAGACAACTCTCCATCCAAGTCAAAATTTATAAAAGTAAACCATTATAGGTCACAGTACAGTCTTCAACACGGAGCCTTGGCTCACACCGAACAGTAAGCTATAAAGGGCCCCAAAAAATTACAAGTGTAAAACCATTCAAACGGGAAAACCAACGGTCTAATCTATATAAAAAACAAGAAACGAGAAACACTTATGAACCACATCAACAAACGACAACTACTGAACATCAGATTCCTGACTTAGGACAGGTGCAAACAAATGCAGCGGGTTTAAACGTTTTAATGGTACCAAACCTTCACCCTTTTTCTGAAACAATAGTGTAACATCACAACATAGAAAGACACACTATAAAATATCAACTGAAATAGCTTAACTCAATCAAAGGACATATTAACACCATTGAACATACACTGAACAAATAAATTTGACCTATGACACAATGTAAATACAAAATAAATAAACTAAGGGAAGAATAATAAAAGTAACATGTTATATCGGTAAGAAATGTTAAACAATTAAAGAAAAACAATATGCTCGAACAAAAATATCAGCCATTTGCAATAACTTTAAACACAGGTAAATGAAAATAATTTTGTTGTTAGGTATACGTGTACAGTACCAATAGAGAAAGGAAATATTTAGACCTTATTGCCCCTACTCCTTTACCAGTTATGTGGTATTCCACTTGTCATATGGTTTCTACAGGTACAACTAATCCTCCAAACTGTATCATTGTATCAATGAAAGAATTTAGTACAGGTTTTGAGTAATTTGAGGTAACGAAATGCCAGACTTAAAAAATTTACCAGTTTATTATGGTAACAATAAGATGTGATATTCCACTTGTCATATGGTTTCTACAGGTACAAATAATCTTCCAAACCTCATCATTGTATCATTGAAAGAATTTAGTACAGGCTTTGAGAAAATTGAGGTAACAAAATGCCAGACTTAAAAATGTACACATTATACATAGATTGTGCTCATTGAAATCTTTAACGTCACTACAGACACAGGCATAGGGAATAAGTTGCAGAAATATACACACCTTAAGAAAAGGGCTAAAGGAATATCACCTACAATAAAAGAAAAAACAAGAATGTGTCCATAGTACACGGATGACCCACTTGCACTATCATTTTCTATGTTTAGTGAACCGTGAAATTGGGGTCAAAACTCTAATTTGGCATTAAAATTAGAAAGATCATATCTTAGGGAACATGTGTACTAAGTTTCAAGTTGATTGGACTTCAACTTCATCAAAAACTACCTTGACCAAAAACTTTAACCTGAAGCAGGACAGACAGACAGACAAACGGACACACAGACCAAAAAACATAATGCCCCTAGGTGGGGCATAAAAATGTTGGGTTACTCATCCAAACATCTTAATATAAGGGAACTATAAACAACTGTCATACAAGTGAGAGGTTTAGCTATCTATAAAACCAGGTTTAATTAACCATTTTCTTCCAAAAATGCCTGTACCAAGTCAGGAATATGACAGTTGTTTTCCATTCATTCCTCTGGTTGATAAAGTTTGATTATGTCAGTTTTTATGGGCTTCCCCGTTTTGAATTTGCCTTCAAGTTCAGTATTTTTATTATACATTTTTGGCAAAAAGTGCTGAACAGAAAAGAATAGCAATTAAAATCTTCATAGACGCAAAGATAATAAACCTTACCAAATCTCTTCTAGTTACCCATTATTTCAAATCTTATTCCAATTTGCTTAACTTTGAAACTTTAATTTGAATGACTGCATTTTAATACCTGCACATTTAGCCATATTGGAGAGATAGATATTGTATTTTAATACCTGCACATTTAGCCATATTGGAGAGATAGATATTATATTTTAATACCTGCACATTTAGCCATATTGGAGAGAGATAGATATTGTTTTTTAATACCTGCACATTTAGCCTTATTAGAGAGATAGATATTGTATTTTAATACCTGCACATTTAGCCATATTAGAGAGATAGATATTTTATTTTAATACCTGCACATTTAGCCATATTAGAGAGATAGATATTGTATTTTAATACCTGCACATTTAGCCATATTAGAGAGAGATAGATATTGTATTTTAATACCTGCACATTTAGCCATATTAGAGAGAGATAGATATTGTATTTTAATACCTGCACATTGAGCCATATTGGAGAGTTAGATATTGTATTTTAATACCTGCACATTTAGCCATATTGGAGAGATAGATATTGCATTTTAATACCTGTACATTTAGCCATATTAGAGAGAGATAGATATTGTATTTTAAAACCTGCACATTTAGCCATATTAGAGAGAGATAGATATTGTATTTTAATACCTGCACATTTAGCCATATTGGAGAGATCTATATTGTATTTTAATACCTGCACATTTAGCCATATTGGAAAAATAGATATTGCATTTTAATACCTGCACATTTAGCCATATTGGAGAGATAGATATTGTATTTTAATACCTGCACATTTAGCCATATTGGAGAGATAGATACTGTATTTTAATACCTGCACAATTAGCCATATTGGAGAGATAGATATTGCATTTTAATACCTGCACATTTAGCCATATTGGAGAGATAGATATTGTATTTTAATACCTGCACATTCAGCCATATTAGAGAGATAGATATTGTATTTTAATACCTGCACATTCAGCCATATTAAAGAGATAGATATTGTATTTCAATACCTGCACATTTAGCCATATTAGAGAGATAGATATTGTATTTTAATACCTGCACATTTAGCCATATTAGAGAGATAGATATTGTATTTTAATACCTGCACATTTAGCCATATTAGAGAGAGATAGATATTGTATTTTAATACCTGCACATTTAGCCATATTAGAGAGAGATAGATATTGTATTTTAATACCAGCACATTGAGCCATATTGGAGAGTTAGATATTGTATTTTAATACCTGCACATTTAGCCATATTGGAGAGATAGATATTGCATTTTAATACCTGCACATTTAGCCATATTGGAGAGATAGATATTGTATTTTAATACCTGCACATTTAGCCATATTGGAGAGATAGATACTGTATTTTAATACCTGCACAATTAGCCATATTGGAGAGATAGATATTTCATTTTAATACCTGCACATTTAGCCATATTGGAGAGATAGATATTGTATTTTAATACCTGCACATTCAGCCATATTAGAGAGATAGATATTGTATTTTAATACCTGCACATTCAGCCATATTAGAGAGATAGATATTGTATTTCAATACCTGCACATTTAGCCATATTAGAGAGATAGATATTGTATTTTAATACCTGCACATTTAGCCATATTGGAGAGATAGATATTGTATTTTAATACCTGCACATTTAGCCATATTAGAGAGATAGATATTGTATTTTAATATTTACCAACATCAGTCAGATTTGATGGTTGCAAATTTACACTAATTGACTTACATATTGATTACAATTACTTCCATTCTAATATTAGTTTGGAAAGAGTGCTATGCAGAAGTGAAATGTCCTCACCTGTGTGATTGTGGAATACAGTTACAATGTGTGAGTATATTGCAAGATAGTCAAAGTCTAATAACTCTAGCGAAAATGGTCAAATTGGAAAAAAGTTTCAGTATATGGTCAACTACATACACTGTATAATGACAAACAGTCCTACATGTGCCATGAATAGAAGCTTTCTGGCAAAAAGGGTCTCAAAGTAGTTCTGTTTACAAAGTGTCATTGTATTTCTATAGTAAAAAGTTGTCAAAGTGACTGTCACAGGGTGACTTTATTTTCTCGTATATGTATAGTTATTTTGATTGGTTAATTCCATTTCAATTTGCAGACCGTCAGTATCTTATAAATTGTATATTCTGTAAACTTCAGTGTATAATGCATGTCCACATTTTACATCTACTGTAAATTCAGAAATTATTGCATGCATTTATTATTGCGATTTTTGTGGAAAAGACAAACATGAGAGATTAATTATTGCGATTGCAGGAAAATCTGTATACAGTTATTAATATCAGATATCAGAATGCGAGTTCTTATTATTGCGATACTCACTCAATCGCATCAGTATTAATTAATTTGATAATTGTAAATTTGTACTATATTAAATTGTTATTTTGTTTAAAGTATTAGTCATTTCTTATATAAGTACAGACTCCTTCTAAGCCAGCACTCATCTATCCGTGACAGTGACACAAACGCGAAATCAAAATGTCAGTACAGTATGGTCAAGAGAATATGACAAATCCTAAAAAATGTGAATCTTTTTTGTCAAACAGTTGATAAGAATTTTTGTGTTTTGTAGATATATGCATTTGTGATCATAAAGAAAATAACAAAATAGCGATATGTTTTTTATTTGTTCCAAATTTCTGGTCCCATAATTTCATTAATTCTAACACACATTCAAAATAGATACTTTCATACTGCAACTACATTTTATGACTAATTTCAATTTATATTTTTTACAATTCATTAAAATATTTAATTGTACAGTGTATCTTGTACTTAAAATGTTAATCTCAACATAGCATTATATTAAAGCAACCCACAATAATTTTTCCCTCCATAACTTAAACATGAATGTGTTATCTCCCCTAGTTTTTCATTTACATTTCAGTGCAAAAAATTGAAGAGTAAATGTTTTGGCTTGGCAAACTCCAGAAGTGTTTTCCATTCTAAAAAAAAAAGAATTTGCAATTTAATACATAAATATAAGTGGTTAATGAGGGTTTGTATACAACCTGAATTTGTGCCATGTAAAAGTCCTATAAAAGTGGCCAAGAATCTATAAATGATGCAATCAACAAACTTTAAAGACAATAAAATACAATGTACAACTTTGCCTGTTGAAGATTACTTTAAACAAATTAACACTTTATAAATATGAAGCATCTGAATCACTTTTCTGGATTGATCTTCATAGGAATGCTCAAAAGCAACCAATTGACAGACAGGGACGTATTAATACTTGGGGAACTATGTATAATGCCAAAAAGGATATTATAAGAATAGCCAACTGCATCCAAGGTCAACTTTGGTTGCAGATTTAAGGTTTGGCTTTTTAAATCAAGAGGTACACAGTGGATGTGGATAAGAAATGTAAACCCACATGAATCATGCAAAAGCCTATTTACCTACTAGAAAAACCCAAAATCAATGATAAATACTGCACATCCTGTTGAAGATCTAACTCTAAATGGTTTCAATTGAGTAGCTTCAAAGGAGTTGTAGAGAGACTTAACAACAAGGCAAAATGACAGCGATTCATTTGTCAGTTGTGTGTCATATAGGCAGCTAATCTTTTCGGAAAGGGAAACAAATGAAAAAAAAATAGGCAAACATATTATCTGTAAAAGTTAACAATAAAATGTCTATTATTTCTATAAGTGTACTTGATATAGTCTTTGCTTAATAACAGAAAATTTAAAATCTAGAAATAAGAGTATCCAGTTTTCTTTTCCCATGCTGACATCAAATTTAACCTGTTTTGAAATTTTTTCTGTGTTACTTTTTTATGGTTCCTGTTCAAATGAATTTGTGAATTAAACATTTTGAAACATAAAGTAAAACCTCATTCAACCTGCAAAGAAAATATCAAACAGTTTCATTGATATATGATCAAATAAAATGAACAATAAACATATATCTTATAGACATTTACAAGTATAAAAGTAAAAGAATACATAAAAACTGCCAATGAAGGATCTAAACAAAACTCTGATAATGTTTAGCATAATACAAACACAGACATCTAAGATCTAACAAAGATGAAATGAATGGTTATCTGCAAATTCATAAAAATTACTGATTGTGCATTATTTACCCCTACAGTTTGAGCCATCTTCTCAGCTGTGTTTAAAAGCTTACAAATTCATTATGTTATAAACAATTCTATATTACATTCCCTCTGGCTGGGTGCCTAAAGTTTAGATATACATATATAACATTTGTAGCATAGTCATGATGATGAAGGTGATGATTTTAAAATTATTTGTACAGCTTTTTTTTTCCTAGCAATAATAGACTTAGTATCAGGTTTTAATTACAGTGTTCTCCTTAGGGCATTTTATCATCAAAAAGAGTTCTTTTACAATGTAATTTTAAATCCTGATTGTATGAGAAATAGAATAACACTGAAATGCATGTTTGATGATGATGTTTCATATAATACATTTTAACAATTAATTTTGCTAAATAAGCTAAACAAGAATGCAAACGCTGAAATGTCTCGCCTGCTTTACTGACCATTGATATGTTGAAAGTCTTAAAGATAAAGGTTTTACTTTGAGTATCACATAAACTTTACATCCATAAATATCCATCACAATGAGGTCAAGGTCAGATAAATCCTGTCAGACAGACATGTACACCTTACAATTATTCCATACACCAAATATAGTTGACCTATTGCTTAAGGTAATAGAAAAACAGACCAAAACACAAAAACTTAACATTGAACAATGAACCTGATGACGAAAATGAGGTCAAGGACAATGAACATATGACAGTCGGAAACTTCGTGACATAAAGTTACTGCATACAAGGTGTGAAGCAGCCAGGTATTCTACCTTCTGAAATATAAAGCTTTATTCAAATAGTTTACATAGCCATCACCGCCAAATAGTAATCCCTATGTCTCGCATAATGAGACGAAAACTGCGACTGTGACTTTTGTCCCAACAAGACAAAAAATCATAATGCTATTATTCTGCACATTAAACCAAATGTAAAAGACAGCAAATCACATCCACACTTGTTTCACACATGTCAGTCACTCACTTATATACTTTAACCTATTCTCACTATCCAAGTATTTTTCTATTCTACATCACAATTTTATCATACCTATATCATCATATATGTTTATCCATACATTAACATCTTATATTGAAAAACGTTTTAAGCTAGGATTGAATTCTTCCACAAATTATTAACATGAATACTTTGGATGTGAATACCAATCCATATACAATGTATAAGTAAAATGTTGTCATGGCTAACAGAAGCCCTCTTAATTGGTCTACACATACAGAACATGTACATGTATGTTTTAGTTGAGGGATTGCCAGAATATTTTTTAAGGGTTTAACCCTAAGGAGATATATATATTTTATTTGTACACAGTAATATCCAGATTCTAAACGAGGTAAATGACATTATACACATTACTTCGGACCATTAAACTCTTAACATAAACAACTTTAACAATTTAACAATTTCAAAAATGTGAATAAAAGCAAAAATGCACAAATAGCTGTAATTAAGTAGGAAGTATTGATCCAGTGATCAATGACAATTGAAGAGTTTGTAGGGTGTTGAATATGCATTGTTAATTGTCCATTTCAAACAAGAAGAATGTCGAACAAAGACGAAGATATCACAAAGTAGTAAAACTTCTAGTCTCTAATGAGTTTGTAAAAGTTTCAGCTTTTCATTTCAAAGTAAATGAAGATGTTTATACCTGAAAAAAGTAAGACCAGACCACAGCTGCTAAAAAATGGGAAATTTACATGAATATTTTATTCCTCCACAGGAAATCTCATTTAGCAAAAAACTGCCAAATCTCAAAAATGAGGGTCCGTATATTTACAGTATGTTTCATACATATGCATGTACCATTTTTTTCTTGATATACAGTAATATTAAACAAAAATGCATGCAATGTTGTGCTAAGCATATCACCAATTGTAATTCAAAGTATAGCATAACCAGAACGATGTGACCAACAGATTATGTAAAATGCTCACCCATTACAACTCAACACTTATAGGCTGTTGACTAAATATGAAGTCGTTCTCTTCAGCAGTAATTGAGAAAAGTGTGAAGAAAATTTAAAGCCTGTTAAAATATTGAAAAATTCAAAGTATAGGCAAACAGAAAGCAGAAGTCCGACAAATCCAAAAAATTTCCAAATGTTACAACTCATCACTACCAAGCTTCTGAACAAGTATGTAGACTTTCTCTTCAGTAATGCCTGAGATCTGTATGATGAAAAAATTAAAGTTCATTCAACATATTTCAGATACAGGAAGTAGCTATAGGTGTCTCACAAATTAAAACTCATCAATGACAAGATTCTTACCAAATATGAAGTAATTCTGTTAAGTAGTACCTGATAAGAGTGTGAAGGAAATATTTGTTGGACGGACTGACGAACAGACAGACAGACTGACAAGGTGAATGCAATATACCCCACTATTCAAGTGGGGATATAATAATTTATTACTCATCAAGTTTCTTGGATGAAATGGACAATTAATGCTATGAAAACAATGCCCACATTGCTATAACAACATTTATAAATAACAAACATGTTCCATAAAGGATCATCACAGTATAAATAAGTCCTCTTGTTTCTCTGTCTGATATAGTAGAACGTAGAGCTATCTCTATAAACCCATGACATATCCACTGACCATCTAATGCATAACATGGTACAACATTCAGTATTATTAATGCTCCTGAGAGAGATATCAAATATCTTGTACTGAGTTAAGGATCATACAGTCTATTCTAACACACTGTTTATTCAACATACCATTACATACAACTATTTATTAAAGGTCAGATATAATGTTTTATTTGAGTGACACATATTTATATGTTTATTTTCTGACCACAAGTTGTAAAGTATTTTAAATCAGATTCAACTGAAAAGTTTCAATTTCTTAGTATGATTAGCAAAAACATGATACAGTGTGAGCTACTGCTCACTAATTCTTACTCTTGCTCTCACTTTTGAGTGAAAGGAAATACATTTACCAATCAATGTAGAAACATTAAACAGAAAGGAAATACATTTACCACTCAATGTAGAAACATTAAACAGAAAGGAAATACATATACTAATCAATGTAGAAACATTTAACAGAAAGGGAATACATTTACCAATCAATGTAGAAACATTAAACAGAAAGGAAATACATATACTAATCAATGTAGAAACATTTAACAGAAAGGGAATACATTTACCAATCAATGTAGAAACATTAAACAGAAAGGAAATACATTTACCACTCAATGTAGAAACATTAAACAGAAAGGAAATACATTTACCAATCAATGTAGAAACATTAAACAGAAAGGAAATACATATACTAATCAATGTAGAAACATTTAACAGAAAGGGAATACATTTACCAATCAATGTAGAAACATTAAACAGAAAGGAAATACATATACTAATCAATGTAGAAACATTAAACAGAAAGGAAATACATTTACCAATCAATGTAGAAACATTAAACAGAAAGGAAATACATATACTAATCAATGTAGAAACATTTAACAGAAAGGGAATACATTTACCAATCAATGTAGAAACATTAAACAGAAAGGAAATACATATACTAATCAATGTAGAAACATTTAACAGAAAGGGAATACATTTACCACTCAATGTAGAAACATTAAACAGAAAGGAAATACATTTACCACTCAATGTAGAAACATTAAACAGAAAGGAAATACATTTACCAATCAATGTAGAAACATTAAACAGAAAGGAAATACATTTACCAATCAATGTAGAAACATTAAACAGAAAGGGAATACATTTACCAATCAATGTAGAAACATTTAACAGAAAGGGAATACATTTACCAATCAATGTAGAAACATTAAACAGAAAGGAAATACATATACCAATCAATGTAGAAACATTAAACAGAAAGGAAATACATATACTAATCAATGTAGAAACATTAAACAGAAAGGAAATACATATACCAATCAATGTAGAAACATTAAACAGAAAGGAAATACATATACCAATCAATGTAGAAACATTAAACAGAAAGGAAATACATATACCAATCAATGTAGAAACATTAAACAGAAAGGAAATACATATACCAATCAAAACATTAAACAGAAAGGGAATACATTTACCAATCAATGTAGAAACATTAAACAGAAAGGAAATACATATACCAATCAAAACATTAAACAGAAAGGAAATACATATACCAATCAAAACATTAAACAGAAAGGAAATACATATACCAATCAAAACATTAAACAGAAAGGAAATACATTTACCACTCAATGTAGAAACATTAAACAGAAAGGAAATACATATACTAATCAATGTAGAAACATTAAACAGAAAGGAAATACATATACCAATCAATGTAGAAACATTAAACAGAAAGGAAATACATTTACCACTCAATGTAGAAACATTAAACAGAAAGGAAATACATATACTAATCAATGTAGAAACATTTAACAGAAAGGGAATACATTTACCAATCAATGTAGAAACATTAAACAGAAAGGAAATACATATACCAATCAAAACATTAAACAGAAAGGAAATACATATACCAATCAATGTAGAAACATTAAACAGAAAGGAAATACATATACCAATCAATGTAGAAACATTAAACAGAAAGGAAATACATATACCAATCAAAACATTAAACAGAAAGGGAATACATTTACCAATCAATGTAGAAACATTAAACAGAAAGGAAATACATTTACCACTCAATGTAGAAACATTAAACAGAAAGGAAATACATATACTAATCAATGTAGAAACATTTAACAGAAAGGGAATACATTTACCAATCAATGTAGAAACATTAAACAGAAAGGAAATACATATACCAATCAATGTAGAAACATTAAACAGAAAGGAAATACATTTACCACTCAATGTAGAAACATTAAACAGAAAGGGAATACATATACCAATCAATGTAGAAACATTAAACAGAAAGGAAATACATTTACCACTCAATGTAGAAACATTTAACAGAAAGGGAATACATTTACCAATCAATGTAGAAACATTAAACAGAAAGGAAATACATATACTAATCAATGTAGAAACATTTAACAGAAAGGGAATACATTTACCAATCAATGTAGAAACATTAAACAGAAAGGAAATACATATACTAATCAATGTAGAAACATTTAACAGAAATGGAATACATTTACTAATCAATGTAGAAACATTAAACAGAAAGGAAATACATATACCAATCAATGTAGAAACATTTAACAGAAAGGGAATACATTTACCAATCAATGTAGAAACATTAAACAGAAAGGAAATACATTTACCACTCAATGTAGAAACATTAAACAGAAAGGAAATACATATACCAATCAATGTAGAAACATTAAACAGAAAGGAAATACATTTACCAATCAATGTAGAAACATTAAACAGAAAGGAAATACATTTACCAATCAATGTAGAAACATTAAACAGAAAGGAAATACATATACTAATCAATGTAGAAACATTTAACAGAAAGGGAATACATATACTAATCAATGTAGAAACATTTAACAGAAATGGAATACATTTACTAATCAATGTAGAAACATTAAACAGAAAGGGAATACATTTACCACTCAATGTAGAAACATTAAACAGAAAGGAAATACATATACTAATCAATGTAGAAACATTTAACAGAAAGGGAATACATTTACCAATCAATGTAGAAACATTAAACAGAAAGGGAATACATTTACCACTCAATGTAGAAACATCAAACAGAAAGGAAAGACATTTACCACTCAATGTAGAAACATTAAACAGAAAGGAAATACATTTACCACTCAATGTTGAAATTTAAGCAGAAAGGAAATACATTTACCACTCAATGTAGAAACATTAAACAGAAAGGAAATACATATACTAATCAATGTAGGAACATTTAACAGAAAGGGAATACATTTACCAATCAATGTAGAAACATTAAACAGAAAGGAAATACATTTACCACTCAATGTTGAAATTTAAACAGAAAGGAAATACATTTACAACTCAATGTAGAAACATTAAACAGAAAGGGAATACATTTACCAATCAAAACATTAAACAGAAAGGAAATACATTTACTAATCAATGTAGAAACATTAAACAGAAAGGAAATACATATACTAATCAATGTAGAAACATTTAACAGAAAGGAAATACATTTACCAATCAATGTAGAAACACTTAACAGAAAGGAAATACATATACTGTGGATTCATTTATTTTCGTGGGTATCAATTTTCGTGGATAGAGAAAAAAAGATGTTTCGTGGTATACGTAAATTCGTGGATCGCTGATAACAAAAAAAAAAAAAAAATCAGATACGTAATTCGTGGATTTCTTTTTAATTTAGGAGATCATATACCCTCCTTGGTTTGATCAATAATAAAACAAACAAAAAAGAAAGAATTCATTGAAAAGGTTTTGAATTGTCAAAATCCTCGCTTGGTCATTCTAGGTTAAAGTGTTCATTGAAAACTTCTATTACAATAATGGACAGAGACAACTAATTATTTGTTTGTTTTACAATTTATAAATTCTTGTCGGAATTTTATAAGGCATTCAAAACTCTATGATCAAAAGCTCATTTCCCTAATCACGATATAATATATAAGTTTAAGTAAAAGGTGTGAAAATAAATGTTCCTGTTATAAATAATATTACCTACGGGCAATATCCCCGCACCGTTAATCCTATTGATTTTTAATCACCAGTAAACCAAACTATGACACGGTAATTAACAACTTGCATTTATTTTCCATGAACAGTTTAAATCAATTTTAAAAAGTAAATTGTCACTGATATTCGATATATTTATTATTGATTTAATCAAAATACTTGTATCTTCTTTCAAGAAAAACACGTGTTATGTTACAATGTTTATCGTTAGTCAACACTATACTAGAACTGCATAACATAACTGGAAATAAACATCCGACTCCATACACATTTCTCGGGATTATTCTTCGTTGAATTCTTAAATTTGTGGTTCGCTGAGACCCACGAAACCCACGAAAATTGGTATACCACGAATAAAAATGAATCCACAGTACCACTCAATGTAGAAGCATTAAACAGAAAGGAAATACATATACCACTCAATGTAGAAACATTAAACAGAAAGGAAATGCATTTACCAATCAATGTAGAAACATTTAACAGAAAGGAAATACATTTACCAAGAAGAAAATAAGGATACAGTTTAGCTTAGGTACTTATATTAAATTCGGCACCAAATATCAAGAAGCTATAATTTGTAGTTGCCGAGAAAAATACCACAACAATTTCTTATACAATGTCTTCGACATTTTGACGTATTTGCCTTATATTTGCCTTTTTGTTGAAGGCCATAGGGAAACCTATAAGTAGTTATATCCATATCATTTTGACTCTGGGGGATAGTTGTCTCATTTAATATACTGTTACCACATCTCGTAATATAAGAATAACTCCTTACTCAATAAACTGTAAACACAGAGATATGTCTTGCCTTTTTGTTATTTTGAAGTAACATGTAAGTTATGCAAAATATTCAAAGTCAATGAACCATGACTGAAGGTACAGGGGGCCAAACAATCTACATGGAAATGCTTAAACATATGCATACCAAATATCATTGACCTTCCACTAGTGGTTTCACAATAACTGACCTAATCACAAACTTATACATGTAATTCACGCAAAAGTTTCAAAGTCAATAGACCACGACTAAAAGGCAGGGCCAAAGAATTGCCATGGAAATGAGATGTGCCAATGCTAATACAACTGAATACCAAATATCATTGACCTAACTCTATTGCTTCCCTATAAAAATGACAAAATCACAAACTAATACATGTAAACTAAGCAAAAGTTTTAAAGTCAATAGACCATGAATGAGGGGGAGGGGATAAATAATCACCATGGAAATGAGATGTGCCAATGCTTATATAACTGCATACCAAATATCATTCACCTACCACTAGTGGTTCCCCATAAACTGACCTATTCACAAACTAATACATGCATACAATGCAAAAGTTTCAAAGTCAATAGACCATGACTGAGGGGGCGGGGCCAAATAATGTCCATGGAAATGAGATGTGCAAATGCTAATACATATGCATACCAAATATCATTAACCTACCACTAGTGGTTCCCTACAAAACTGACCTTATCACAAACTAATACACTGTTGACGACGCCACACCGCCGCCTACTACTCGCTTTTTGACTTCATCAAGGCGATACAAAAACTATCATTTTCTTATCTGAATAACATTTACAGTGTATAGATCTGATTTGTGATGACCTATGTCTAAAGCGTATGTGGCAAACTTTGAAAACTGGTTTACTTTTCGTGACCATGAAAACACTATTGCAATCACTTGAAAAGGATACTTGCTGAAAGTTTCTACAACATACGGTAGATTCAATGGAATAGCAAAACTTTTTGGTACATAATTACTTAGAACAACTGTAAAAGAAAAAAATAAATACAATTAATAATTACAATTAAAAGAGTATTCATCAATATATAAAAAAGAAAATGTTTTTTTTTATTTTAATTTCATTAGAATTGAATGCATTTTAAAGTTTCTCTACTTTGTGATAATAACTTTATATCTTGATCAAATAAATATAAATGTTTGCTCAAGCATTGTAACTAGAACTGACATCTGCTATCAATAGATAGGCGTGGTTTCAGCTTGTATACATTAGGCCACACTTAAAAATATTTTGGTTTGCCCAAACCCTACCCAAAGGTAGAGACAGTGGGTAGGTAGGTAGGCATTTCTTTCTTTTTTCGGCAAGGAGAAATTGAAGTGTCAGATGTTTTTTTAGTCTTCATGCCTATCTGATAAAAAAAAAAACTTTTTCACATCAGGACAATAAAAGATTTTAAGTAGACAGCTATTTTCTGGGTAGGTAGGGTTAGGGCAAACAAACATATTCTTTTTTGTGGCCTTATACTTATAAATGTTATTGGAAGTTAAGCAATGTATACAAGTTGAAGCCCTGCCTATCTATTGATTGCAGATGTCAATCTAAGTTACAATGCTTGAGCAAACATTTATACAAACAAAGCAAGCAAGCCAACCAAACCTTTAACTTGCTAGCATTAGGATAACAGCTTTAAAGAGTTAAAAAGAAAATGGAAAGATTACTTACAATCTACTGGAATGTTTATGTTTATAGTAAAAGATAGTTTTTTCTTTCTATAAATTTATCTACATTTAAATAAAAAATATGCTGACTTACCAGAGTAATGAAGGTCAAGTGGATGACCCAGAAATAGTAATGGTGGTTTACGTCCATGGTAAACTTGAAGTAATTTGGTTTCATTGTCTAAAGCAGGATATACACAAACGTCACCCTTTGGTATATAACAATCACTTTGTAATTTACACATGGGTCTCTCAGTTATAGCTCTTGCTGGCAAACAAGCATATTTCTGAAATTATTTTAAAGGCAACATTGTTAAGTGAAACAAACAATGACATAGTCTAACACATGTTACCTTTTTGAGAAAAAAATAATCAGTAGAACTTGCTGTGAAACTGGAATCTTCATATTGTAAGGCTTTTGAATGTGGATGAATGGTGTTGTTCTGATGCAAATATATGTAAAACGAACCCAAAATTATTATTTCTTGCCTAATTTTAGTAAATCAAAAGATGTCATAACACCATGACATTGTAACATTCAAGTGATTAAAAAAAATATTTTCTAACATCTAAAAAAGATTCCATGGCAGTCTTGTCTTTAATTCATATTAATCATTTGCATATCTTTTGACCAAAATTGAGATTTTTATAACTCTATATCTTTCTTGTGTAAAAATCCCTTAAAACAAATTAATAACTTACATCATGGGGAGCAGTCTTTGTATGATAATTAAAACACAGGTGTGTACTGCTACTCCTATTACAACAGTCTATAGATTTCTCTGTTCGAGTCCAGTCTGGCAGAAAAAAAAACAAAAAAACATTTAAATTAGCAGAAAAGTTTATACACAAATAGACGGATCAGCTATTTTATGAGAGATTTCACAGTTTCCTAGCTAAAAAGGCATATTCATATATCCAATGCCCATTGTTTCGCTGATATCATGTTTTATGTTTTATTTCAACCAAATGTTTATGCTGTTGTGACACAGTAGCCTGAAACAGTGATACACCAGTATAATACAAGCAGAACTGGTTCTCTACAGAGACACTCAAGATTCTCCAAAGTCATTAAATTATATGACAAAGCTATAAATACTAATAATAACAAACAAATGCTGAAAAACCATCTGCTAATGAACTTGTAAATTTTTTTTTTGGTATGAGAAACTGGACATATTGCACTTCTACCAATGCAAGCTTACTGGTTGTTCATTATCCTTTCTCCAGTTGTTTTCTTTCTTGGAATTTAGAATGGGTATGTATTTACAACAACAATATAGCTGATAATTTCAACCTAAGTGTAGATTTTATTACTTTTTGGGGATGCATCCAAATCTTTAATTAGATTCAAAGCCATACAATGTCCCATAGTTGGTTCTTTCATACTGACAGAAATGCATGTACTCCAGTCATCAAGACTAGTCACACGACAATCACTTAAACTGGTTATTGCTTCTCCTACTGCAAGACCCCTTGGTCCAGAAACTGCTGAGTTCTACAATAAAAATCTTAAAGCAATTAGTGAGTTATTTAATCATGCTGTGTCTGTTTTTTAAACCTGTGAAACAACACCAATATCTTGTTTAACAAGAATCTGTGTCCATAGGACACCATGCCCCGATTGCATTATATTTATATGTTCAGTGACCTGTGAAATTGGTATTAAATCCCTTTTTTGGCACATGATTTAAAAGTTCACATCATAATGAACAAGATTCAAGTTAATATGACCACAACGTGATGGTCAACTACCTTGACCAAACACTTTACCTTAATACCCACTTGCACTATATTTTTGTGTTTTGTGAACTATAAAATCAGGGCAAAAACCCTCATGTCTGTTTGGGTTAATCACCCAATGTGTCAATATAATGGAACTATAAACAACTGTTATAGAAGTGGGAGGTTTAGCTAGCTATATAAAAACCAGGTTTAACCCACCATTTCCTTCAGGAAATTCCTATTACAAGTCAGGAATATGAAAGTTGTTTTCTATTTGTTCTGTTGGTTGATATAGTTCAGGGTTTGCATTTGTCAAGTTTTATTAAGCATGTAATTTATAAAGTGTTGTTTTAATTTATTATGGACTTCCCCCTTTTTGAATTTACTTTGGAGTTCAGTATTTGTGTTAATACTTTTTTTTGGCATATAATTTTAAAAGTTCACATCATAATGTACATGTGTACCAAGTTTTAATGTGACCACAACTTGATAGTAAACTATCCTGACAATACTATACATCTGTAACATGAATTATAATAAATGGTGACAGCAGTAGAGTTAGGGTCAGTAACATGTACTTAACTAACACAATACTATATCTCTGTGACCTGAGTTATAACAAGAGTAGAATTGTGGTCAGTAACATGAGAACAGTACTTAACTAATACAATACTATAATAACAATACTATACCTCTGTGACCTGAGTTATAACCACAGACTCTCCAGTACCATAGAATGGAGCCAGTAGTAAAGGTAATATCAACAGCACACATAATGCCAATACAACAATTACAAAATTATGCCACACTCCAGCACAGTAAATTCTCAACTGACGTAACGGGGAGACTGCTTGTAAGTGCTCTGTTGATAAATCCACATATGCTCCTGGGTATAAAATAAATATAAACAAACCAAAACCATTTACTCTTACTTGTTCCCTGAAAAGAAAGAATATACATATATCATGAAGTTTTAATTTTTCACTAAACAGGGAGTCGAACATCAAAGGAACAGAAACATGTCACATAATAATGCATTACCAGAAGAAGGTTGGTCCTATTTAAAGAGAAGCTTTGAATTGTAGTTGTTGAAAAAATGTGACCCAAATTTCATATATTTGCATAACATTTCAAAAATACATGAGTTTTTAGCAAGTTTATGAAAGTCACATATATAAATAATAAATATTGATGACATAATTGTCCACAAGATTGACATACCGGGTAGCCAAGATACACTGCATAGTTTATTCATGATCAGTATGAAATAGCAACAAAAATAAGTTTAAAATTTCATTCAAATCCTACAGTTACATCAAGAAATTTTATTTTATGTAAGATTAATGTTATTCTCAAAATTCTGCGGACTGTTTTGTAAATAATGTGAGCTGAACTTTTTCAAAGATTTAACACCAGAAATAAATTCAAATTTTGCTGAAATCCAAACACTTCAAATGTTTGCATATTTTTGTCTGAAAATTCAATCCACCATTAAATATTGAGTTTATCTAACGTAGCAGATTTATTAATTTTTTTGTATCTTTTGTATTTCTTTGGGGTAGATTTTCAATGCCCAATTCATGATGAGTGATCTCCATTCATTGATTGTTCTTACCTTACAGCAGCAATAGCATGGCCTACTTCATGTAAAATTCCACATACCAGTAATGTCAATAGATAGTATGACATTTGAGAGATCGGTAAGTTGATTCCTGGCATCTGAAAAAAAATAATTCACTCAAATACATTAATAATTCAAATTCAAATTCAAATGATTATTGCCATTTTAAACTTTAAACAATAACTTTGTGACAAATACAAAATAAGTATACAATATAACTGAAATTCACATATATATACACAATCCTTTAATAACAGTAAATAGTCGAGAGTCCCCTGTCCTCAGTTCTAATGACTTTTAATGTAGGACCCCAATTTATTTACTTGTGATGGTGTTGATGGATTGTACATAAAAATAACCTTTTCTTCATCAGACAAAAATTTAACAGAAAAGTTTATTTCCAAATTATGGAAAAAGTTGTTTCTTGGTTCCCTATTGAATTCACTATCTAATAAAAAATGTTTTTCATCTTCTAATATGTTACGTTTAAGGCATAGTCTCTGCTCTCTAGGAATATTAGAATGTCTTCTTTCTATGTTTAAATTATGGTCACTTATTATTAGTTTTGTTATCAATTTTCTTCAATGCACCTCATATAAAAAAGGACAGATTCCTGAATATATACAGCTGTTGACAATTTGACAGTGGCTGTCTTTTGATGCATCTTTAATGTTTTATCATTTAGGAAATTTGGCATCAATGTCAGATCTTTTTTAGTCTTTGTTAAATATATTCACAACTTGACCATTAAGAAGTTGACATATTGTAAAGACACTTATTTATTGTTGAAGACCTATATATAAACTCTACATGTTTTTTGGGTTGTTTTTTTTTGTAACATTGGGTTGTTGTGTTATTGGCATTTCCTGATGAACGAAAAGCACTGCCAAAATACAAAATTTATTAACTGTTACTTTTATTTTCTAGCACTGGATTGATTCCTTTACTGAAGGACTGTTAGTCCCTCAGGATATTATTATTGCTCCAACAGTGACATGATTTCTTAATGGAAATTCAATGAAAAAACAGGCAAATTTGCATTGAATTTTTGGCTATTCTTTTTGAAAAAAATAGCTCCTCAATTACTGAAAATATCAGTGTTCTTTTTATGAACAGGAGAAGGTAAGTCATTTATGAGTGTTGTTTATGGTAAGCTATTATACATGTATATATTTGGTTTGATAAGAAGACCTTTTTCAGGAATTCAGGATTGAGTCATTTCTTTCAGTTGTCTTTGTTTGTTGACATATTTGTTTGTTTTATAGTGATTAAGATTATAACACAATGTTGACTGATGTACCCATATTTTTGACATTTTTACCTATTACATCTGGTTGTTATGTTCACACATTGTTGTCAATATAATGGAATTTTATGCGACTGTCATACAAGTGAGAGGTTTAGCTAGCTATAAAACCTGGTTTAATCCACCATTTTCTATATAAGGAAATGCCTGTACCAAGTCAGGAATATGACAGTTGTTTTCCATTCGTTTGATGTGTTTGAGCTTTAGATTTTGCCATTTGGTAAGGGACTTTCCATTTTGAATTTTCCTTGGAGTTCGATATTTTTGTTATTTCACTTTTTAAATTGTGGAAATAGCCATTTAAATTGTCCAAGATTCTGGAATTCTGGATTTAATTATACCGGTATTGTAATGTTGACATGGACACATAATTTCAATTTTGGGATTTGGCATTTATTAAGGAAAATTTAGTGCTGTTATGTCCAAGTTGGTCAAGAGTCGACGCATTATATCATTTTATAAATAAATGAAGCAAAAGATAGTGTTCTGTGTTCTGGTCTAAAATTACATTTTTTTCATAAAACAAAACTTTTTGTGTTAACCATCAAACATCCTTTGGATTTAATGTATTTTTTAGTTGCTGTACAATGATAACACTAAAGCTTTTATATTTCATTGTTGTTAATTTCAACTGTCAAGTATTTTCCTAAACTTTATTTTAAACTTACAACAGGTGTCAAAACTTGCTGATCTACAGGTTGCTGTCGAAAAGTGTTAAACACCAATAAAGTCAACAAAAATATAGACATAATCATTGCCAGCAGTCCAAAAACAACTCCACAGTTAAACCAAATTCTAAGAAAGTGTGGTCTCCATTGTCCCAACTTGACAAATGTCCTGTTGAACATAGCAGTATACCATCTTAATTGGCAAACAGAGACAGACAATCCAGTCTTGTCTAATCTTTCTATGTATTGACGACCTGACCATTTCTGTGTCTGAAATTAAAAAGGTTTAATCTTATGCTGGTTTCTTTTAAGTGATTTTTATATTATTAAACTTCTCTAATAAGATCAAGATTGTCTTACATGGAAAAGCAGCTATTTTCATTAGAAATCTGGTAAAATTTATCATAAATTCAATGAATTTTAGATTTTTTTTCTTTTCACGTAATATTATTAGTACAACATTGTACAATAAATACTAATCATTAACTTAAACTAAGAGATTCCAGCTGTTGGTATTAATTTAAATATAAATGAACATAAAAGCACTGTGCCTTTGTTTTTTGTGTGTTTTTGCTATGCATGTACTAATTGTTGTGTCATGGATGGATACCCCATATCCTTTGTTTTTCTATTCTACTATTTATAGAATAACTCATTCAAGAATTCAAATACAAAAAATATATGAGAACACCCATTGTTGTATGATGTCAGAGGAGTGAAATTATCAGAATCATTTCACATCATGTGAGATTATCGGTTTTTATTTCACTGGGAAATCACAGTAATTCATTACAACCAATGTAATAATTCCTGATGAATCCATGACATTTCGCCCCATTGCAAATTCACCCCCTTTTTCACCAACTCTCCCCACTCTGGTTTACCAACTCGCCCCACTTATGAAAAAGGGGAACTTATCATCTGAGAATAAAATTATGTAAACACCCATGATTCTTGATTTATCTTGTAAAACAGTGTTTTATATTTACCAGAAAAAAACATCATAAACAGTTACAATGATCAACATGGTCAATAACATTGTATGTCACAGAGATACTGATACTTACTTCTTCCTGCTTTGTTTCAACCAAAAGAAAAGAAGTAAAAAATATACAAGATGCATTTCTAAGGTTTTCATCAGTACTCATTTAATTCTTAAGTGGGGCGACTTGATAGGCCTTACTTCAGTACGGTTTAATTCCTTTTTTCATTAGTGCAGTGAGTTGGCAGACCTTTATTCAATGAGATAAACCTCCTTTTCATAAGTGGGGTGAGTTAGTAGTCCTTACGACAGTAAGATTTAATTTTTTTTTCATAAGTGGGGCAAGTTGGCAGTTTAAGAATTATTACATTATAAGTTTAAGAATTATTACATTCATCTGGATTAAAGTCCTTTTCATAATCATGATAATTGGGGGGAGTTGGTAGTCTTTAATGCAGTACCATTTAAATCTTTTTTTCATTAGTACCTGGCAAGTTAGCAGACCTTTATTCGATGGGATTATACTCTTTTTCATAAGTGGGGCGAGTTGGCAGGACTAAATTCATCAGGATTTTACTATTTTTCATAAGTAAGGCAAGTTGGCAAACCTTTATTCATCGGGATTTTACCTATTTTCACAAATGGATCAAGAGTTGGCAGGACTAAATTTAACGGGATTTAACCCTTTTTCATAAGTGGGATGAGTTGGTAAGCAAGAGTGGGGCGAGTTGGTAAAAAGTGTGGCAAGTTGGTGGAAAAGTGGGGCGATTTGGCAGTGGGGCGAGATGTCTTGCTTCCATTCCTAATTACCTATATCTGATTTCCAGAGATGATGTCAATATAATAATACTTTTTTTTTAGATTGCTACAAGTACAGAATTCTCGAGCTCTCTTTGTATGCCTTAACAATTAATCTTTTCCACAGTGAAAACAAATTTATGGGCCTTACTGAGTGGTTAATATACCTTCAGAAAAGCATCAAGGAGGTAAAGAGATGACCAAAAGCCAAGAACTAATGCAATCCATGTTGTCTGCAACATCTCAGTATGTGGACATGTGCTCCATGAGTCACAAACAAAAATAAACAATGCAGTCTTTGCAGATCAATATTCAGAAGTTTCTTTTCATATTTGCTTGTCACATCATTCTGTTTTACAGTGGAAAACAATAACTGCAGTCATGAAGGTTCTCTTGTATTTCAGTTTCCTCATGATTTTACATGACCCTAAATCATTTCTAAGCAATATTTCTCGTTTAACAGTTCAATTAAATACAGCGTGATCAAATCAACCGCAATGGTCTCAATATGAAAGTACGTATTCTAATCCGATTGGTGCATTTTTGTAGGAAAACGGAAGTACATCTATTTTCGTTTTAGATATTAAAGTTACCATTTGATTGTATCACATTACACTCATTCCTTAAATAGTAGAAATTGCGACTATACTATTTTTTAAACTTTAATCATGAATGGTGCTAAATTGATAAATTTTATTTTGTAATCAAATTTTGAAATTGAATTGATATTCAATTTCATGAATCAAACAAATCTTTATGGATATGCTAAACACACATGAATCATTACTTTACTGAAGAAAATCTTGCATCAGAATTGAGACAACGGAAGCATGGCTGGTGAAGAAAACGAACCGACGAAAAGACTGCAACCACATCTATCAAAACAAGATCTTTCTACACTCGTTAGTGTTTCGTTAATATCACACTTTAATAAATGTTTGTCACCAACTGATCTTGGCTACACAATAAACGTATAGAGGTTCATGACAGATGGCCTCGAAAATAACCCGAACCGTCAAATTGTTCAATAAAGCTCGATAGACTTTCCTTTGATAAGAAGTTGCAAATATGTGATGCCTTTTGTAAGGGAGATTTAAATCTTAAAATGGTATGTGAGCATTTAATTGTGGATAAAGAGCGGGTTAACTCAAATGCTCATCCTCCTGGGGTTGTATCAAGACTATCTCGGTCTTTGAGGGGAGAGTTTGTTGTCCATATGTGCACCAAATAAATGGAAGTATAATAACAGGAATCAGAAATTCTATGAAAAATAAGGTATAGGGGATTAAAAGTTGCTCGACAATCTTTGAGATGCCCCTATACCTTATTATTGATAGAATTTCCAATTCCTGTGGTGTAATCAGTTAGTTGTAGCCATTATCTTAGCAGATCAAGAAATAACTGTTAATTGGTAGATTATACCTTAATTGGTCTATCTTACTGTATGTCAAATACCTGAATCGAGGTATAAGTCACCAATTAATGGTTATTCCTGACCTGATTAAGTGGAAGAGGACCTAATGCTTTTCTTAAATCTGTCATTAGTGATGTTAATCTACTACTATTGTTTGAATGCTTATACATGTGCTTAAATAACATTTTATTCATTTGAATGTCTGTTTTGAGGTGTTCAGTTCATAGAATAAAGAATTTCAAAATTCAGGTGAACACTTATCATTGGGGAAATCCCCCATAAATCGGGATAGTTGGCAGCTCTGCACTATCTAGCAGAAGCAGCTACTTGTATACATGTATGTTGCTAGTTATTCAAAAGTTTATTATGACTGATGCAACTTTAGGTAATATACAGATAGGTAGTCATTTCATCATTCTGATTGATCAGATTTATTTATACTTTTGAATATGTATATGAGTCTATGGAAATCAATTTTACGTTACTTATTACATTCTAGAATTAACTAAAAACCAAACACATTTTGTAAAGCAAGTGATTTTGATTTTTTTCAAAGGAAACTCTTATGCATAGTTAACCTGAGATTATTTATATTTAAAAAAAAAATGAGTTCAAATGTTGTGAGTAAAAGTAATTTATATTTTTAAGTATTTAAGCTTGTATACAAATGTACAAACTAGCACATATTTAGGAACATAATACTTGTACAAGTATCTATTATTACTTGTACAGGTGAATAATTTAGGAAGTAGAGTAATTTCCCTTAGTCATTCAGATTTGTTAATAAATCAAAAAATAAAAACCTATCTGTTTGTCAATTTAAGCATTCAAAAACTCAACTTGTTCAAAGGAGAACCAAATTACATATCAAAACTGTGTTCTCAACCTCTCTAGCTGCTAATTGATAAATTGTTGTCGCATGATATCTGTGTATATACAATGAAATTATTTATGATAATATTGGATTACTATCTTAATTTGTGACATAATTAATAGCATGTCTGAATTCAGTAACTTGATGATGGAAAATAACTTATTTATTCATGAATTTTATGGGGTCTTGCACAGTTACAACATGTACTTAGTAACTTAACATCTGTGCAGATTATATTTCTAAAATGATAATTTCTTTATTTAGTTATGACATTAGATAAAAGATTTAAAAGAGTAAGCAAACCAGATAAATGTTTAAGGCATGTTTTAACTACCCAAAACTTGAGAATTTCAGGGGTTGTTAAAAGAAATATAAATTTTATAAGTAAATTTTTTTAGAAGCATTAGGGGAGATTATTCAAACCTTGAAAATAAAATTTACTTACACAAGTTTTGAGGGAATATAATTTACTCTTCAACTTCGTACTTTATTTGGCCTTTTTAACTTTTTTTGATTCGAGCATCACTGATGAGTCTTTTGTAGACGAAACGTACGTCTGGCCCAAATACAAAATTTCAATCCTGGTATCTATGATGAGTTTATTTACATCTTCCAAGTAGGTAAAAGACACTTGTTTAAGTGTAAGTTACTCAGTGTCAGTAACTGTAGATGAACTACTTAGACCATTTTATCACATTTTGATAGAGTTGCAAGGCTTTTCTGCAAGCATTTAATGGAAAATTTCACTCATCACTGCTCATTTTACCTAGTTTGGTGATTCCTGACTTGCTTCAAGTACGTAGACAGAAAAGTACAATTTTATTTCATCTGCTGCATGTATTTGACCATGTATTTTTATGTATTCTTCCTAATGTTATTGGTTTGGGCAATACACTATGTGTGAATGAAATATTGGGAATTGTTTTTATAATCTTCAGATCGAAAATTTGCATCAATTGTTAATAAACATAAAAATAATGTGTAAAGTAATAATAAATAATATATTTTCAGCAAATTGAAAAATTGACACCTCTGACACAAGAGGTTATCAGTAGACAGGCAACTATAAATATAGGTAAGACTTATTGTACTCACAACCATACAGTTTGATTTTTCTAGTGTTCTGTAGTATTGCCAGTATTCTCATGAAGCATAGCTAAAATTTATGATTGAAAACAAAAGGAAATTTCAAGGAGGAGAATAGAATTCAAGCATTTTGTAATACTTTTGGTAATTGATGACGACAGAGCTTATGTGGTGTAATCACCAAATGTGAACTCATTGTTCAGGAAATTATGCATCAAGGATGTATGTGAGGGCCTCAATGAAAATCCTGCCCTCTGGATCTGGATCTTTATTAAAATATTTCCAACAGAGCATTAAATTGTAACATTAAACATGCTAAAGAAATGATGTAAATTTTTAAAATTTAAATCAGTTATATTAACTATATACATGTTCATTTCAGGAACCATTGGACATGTAGCCCATGGGAAGTCCACTGTAGTAAAAGCAATATCCGGTGTACAGGTTTGTAAGCTTGAAGTGATTAGAAGAAGTTCTATGTCCTATAATACTGACCTGTATACAGAGTGAAGTGTTGTTAAACTTTTTTTTATCCATTACACCCTTCTGACACTACAACTGTATGTAGATATCAATATAACTTTAGAAAAAATGTTTCTGTAGAATTTTGCCTCCCTTGTTATTTGTTGATGTTGTTAATTTTTACCATAGCCAAACATAGACTTTTGCATGATTCATTAAAGGGGGATTACACAAACCTTAAATCTGTAACTCATCAACAGAAATCCAAATCTTAAGCAGTATGTGTGGAATTGCATATTTCTACTTTATTTGATGAAATTATTGATTTAAAGGGTATATCACTGCCAGTAGGGATTTCTTTAATGGTTCTTGTAGAGTATGCAATCTTGGAACTGTTAGTGTGGTATTGCATCTTATTTCAATTATTACATTGATGCACTTTTTAGCTGGTAGTTTTTCGTTCCTCATTTAGCCTGGAGTTTTTATAGTTCTTCATTAATAACTACATCCTTTGACAAAGTTCTTTTCTGCTAAGAATATTTTGTTCTCATATTTCGTCTAATCTTATTTTGTGTTGGTTATTATTAGTTGTGGAAGTCTTGTCTTTGAAACTTGGTGGATGTACCAACTATATATGGAAGAAGTACTATTAAATGTTCTCTTATGTATATGTTTTATTATCCTTTTTTGCAGACTGTAAGGTTCAAAAATGAACTAGAAAGAAATATTACCATAAAACTTGGCTATGCCAATGCAAAAGTAAGTCATATTATTATTTTCATTCACAATCTTTACAATGACGCTTAGTTAAGATCAAGGTTGGCAAAAAAGCGGTCAATACTAGTATTGACCATGCCGGCGGTAAATACCGGTAAATACCGGGAAATACTGGCAAATACTGGTCGATTGAAATTTTGAGTGGACATTACTATAAAAACCACTCTCTATTGGTCAATTACTTTTAGAAAATGAAATAATGAAATTGTTAAAGTCATTTTAAATGTTTTCATTTCTATTTTTATTGTAAATTCTTAATAAAAAGTTATTTACAATGTTTTATTAGTACATAAGATAAAAATGTTTTGTCCCTGTCAAAGAAACTCATCAGGTGGCTTTTGCACTGACTATAGCATTGCAATCATTACATTTTGCACTGGTTTTTGTTGTTGTCTTATATTGTATAGAAGTTCCAAATAGGGTCTTCAGGTTTCAGTTTGGTGCTTAAGGTCAAGATGGTTGTACTATGTGTATGTAAATCATGTAAATATTGATTATGTAAAGGTAAAATTTATACAACATTATATATTTTTTGGTTTAAAACATAAATTACAGTTCAGCCATAAGAGTAAAGGTCCTTCATACCTTCCATTTCCTGCATAAAGATGATTTTTGTCTCACATTTAATAGACAGGAAATATTTTATTGTTTAAGTGAGTCTTCAAATATATCACTTTTATTACTTTCAACCATGTTTTGTCATCATTTATTGGGGGCTGTTGTTTTTAAAGTAATTAAATTTTCACACCTAGTAATGCCAGGTGATAGGTAATAAGACACCTGTAAAGTTCATTTACCTGTAGTTTTATGTACCTGTAAAAATTATGCATTTTCAATAAAAATTATCTTGATTGAAAAATGTTGTAATAATTAGTCAATCCTTTATATATATCT